TATCTCATGGTAGCGAGAAGGCAGCCAGCTTGTTTTTAGAGTAAAACCCCTTCCTTTAAACCCATTAGGCTTTAAATCCATAAATGGATTGATCCATAAATGAGATCATAGTCCCTCTGGTCGAATCATCTCCCAAAGGCCCTACTTGTAAACAATGCTGCACTGCATTGTAGACCAAGCCTTCAATACATGAGGGGTTTTTTTTTAGACCATTTTATATCCAAACTGTAATAATCACTAGGTAATTGTGATTTTAGACAAATCCCTTCCCATCTGTAGGCTTCCTTTTTTTCATCTGTCAGATGAAGAACATCATAAAGGGATGTTCTGACAGATCCCTTTCAGCTCTTTCATGTTTTCATTTCTCTGAGGGTGAGGAAGAGGTCAGCTTCCTGATTGGAATGACTGGTAGGCACTCTCTCCATGTGCTTCGTTGTTCTTTATACATGTCATTCATCTTTATCTTGAATGGCCTATTGCTTCCTTCCTACCTCTCCAGATCCTTTGCTGTCAACCCTCCACTTTCCTGGCTCTTAAATCCTTCAGTGCTACCAGATGAGTTTGTTATGTCTTCATTTGCTGACTTCAGCTCCTTGTTTGTCAGCTTTCTCTGGGAGAAAGCACTTGACACTTGCAGCTTGGTAAAAGAGGTTTTTTTATGGCTCATAGTTTCAGAGGTTTCATTTCATGGTCTATGGTCTTCAAAGCAAGGACATCCTGGGAGAAGGACAGGATAGAGCAAAGTTGCTCACTTCCTGGTATCCAGGAAGCAGAGTACAGGGCAACATTCCCAGTGAGAGATGCGTATCTTTAAAAGGCACACCCCCAGTGGCCCATGACCTCCAACTGGGCCCTACCTCCTAGCCATGCATTCAGTTCTGAATATCGTTGGATTAATCCACTGATTAATATAGCATGCTTATGATCCAGTCACCTATGGGAATTTCTTTATCCAGTCAATATGACAACTGAGATTAACTGGTACAAGTCCCCCCTTTCTCAATTTACCACCTAACCAAACCTTGTTAAATTCTATGTAATCTCCTAATAAACAATAAGTTAATTAAGCCTAACATCATGCAACCATGTTCTATATAATCAGTCATGCAATGTTCCCTTCCCTAAAATCTCAACAGTCCAGCACTTCCCTGAAGTTCACGAAGTCTCCCCTAAAATTCAAGACAAACTCCTAACTGTGATCCCCTGTGATAATCACAAGCATTTTACATAATCCCAAGGTACAGTGCTACAGGGTAAGCATTACCATTCTGAAAAGGAAGAATAGGACATAGAAAAATAGCAGCAAAACAAGACCAAAAACCCAGCAGGGATTACATTAACTTTTGTAGCTCCATGTCCAGCATATCCACTGGGGATGCATGATTTCCAAAGGGTTTGAGTGGGCGTGCACTTACAGCTTTTTTGGTTGCAGCCCACATGGCTTCTTTCAGTCTGGCTCCACTTGGAGCCTGCAGCTTTCCTCAAAAGACATTTCATGTTCCTGGCATCACCTGCTTCCTGAGGTCTCCATAGTACCTTCAGCTTTATTTTTACAGCTTCATACAGGCATATCTTAGGGACAAATTGCACCTTTGCAGTCTGGGGGGGGGCTTCATTGCCCCATGACTCTTGCACTCTGCACACCTGCAAAACCAACATCACATGGATGACTACAAGGTCTGCTGGCATGACGAGCAGTAACCAACAAGCCCTTCTTGGAACATGGGTGCAGTGTTCTCTGAGTACCTGTATGGCAAAGCATGGTGAAATGAATCCAGGGGACAAGTTCCCTAGGTTTCCTTTCTCAGCAGAGATTGTAGAGGCTTTCTGCTCAGATAAAGGATTATACTTTTATATCCTTGAGCCTATGATGGGTGGGATCTTACTAATTCCTGAGATGCCCTTAAGCTATCTTCTTTTCTTATGCCTGTTTAGTTCCTCCCCTGTTGCATATAAAATAAATCAAGAATCAACCAATGGGATCACATCTAATTAAAAAGCTTCTGTACACCAAAGGAAACCCAAGTAAAGAGACAGCCTACAAAATGGGGCAAATTGTTTGCTAGGTATTCCTCAGACAAAGGAGTATTTAATATCTAGAATATATAAAGAACTCAAAAATCTACCCTCTAAATTTAAAGACCTTGTCATAAAATTGCCAACTGAAATAAGCATATTTCTCAAATGAAGAAGTACAAATTTCCCATAAATATATGAAAAATGTTCACCATTGCTGGTGTCTTAGGCACTTTTCTGTTGCTAAAACAAAATACCCAACACTCAAAGTTAATAGAGGAAAGTTTTAATTGCCTCACAGTTTGTAGATATTTCAGTGCATAGTTGGCTGGCTCCAATGAAGGATGACATGGAGGAATGGCATCACAGAGGTAAAAGAGTTCAGCATGAGCAGAAGGCAGCAAAAAAGAGAAGAACCAAGTGACAATCAGCATCACTTTTTCTGTCTCTAATATTTTATCCAGGCTAACTGCCCTTGGAATGGGTAGCACTCAAACCCAGGGGAGGGCCTTCCAATTATACATTCCCAGAACTATGCCAAACCAATCAGTGTACTAATTAAGTAATCACATGCCCTTGATCCCAGGATCACACACTTAATCCAAGAATCACATAATCTATATCTAGCTATCTCTGAAAAGCCCCATCTATGACTTCTTGAGGCTTTGGGGAAACATCTAAATGCAAGCCAAAACAGCTGGCCAGTATTTGTGTATTCAAAATGGTTAGGATAGATATATAGCTACATTATTTTAATTCAAGGAATAGAGGCATTTGTTCTAATAGTGTTTATAAATAGGATACCATGTTTGCATCTTGTACAACAAATAACCACTAGGAAGGCAGTATGCAATGTGTTAGTTATTGGAACTGTCCTACTAATTTGGTTTGAAACTGTCTCATTGCTATTTGCTTCTCAATAAAATTATGGAAAAAAAAACAGCTGGCCATTCAAGAAAAGCAAATTAAAACAGCACTCAGTGTGTTTTACTCCTGAAAAATGGCTATCATCAGGAAATGAGCAATAAGTGCTGGCAAGGCTGTTGGTGGAAAAGGAATCCTTACTCACTGTTGATGGGAGTGCCAAATGGTACAGCCACTATGCAAATTAGTATGGAGTTTCCTAAAATATACTAAAACTAGAAATTCCATTTGATTCAGATATTCCCTAAGTATCTTCCAGAAAGAGTTAAAGTTTTGCTATTACTGTGATACATGCATACCCATACTTATGGCAGTAAAATTTATAATTACATCTTGGAATCAGTTTGTATATCGGTCAACAGATGGATGAATAAAGAAAGAGGAATAATACTCTGTCTTAAAGAAGGATAAATTTGAGTCCTTTGTAGGTACATGGGTGGACCTCATGACTGTAATGTCAAGTGAAAGAAATCAGATACACAAATTTAAATATCATATGGTTTCTCTTATATGAGAGACTCAAAGTACAAATAAAGAGCAATATAAAAGATTATAAGAGGTAGGAGATCTTTTCCAAATGGGAAGGGGAAGAAGAGGTAGAGAAAGGGAGTAAGGAAGAAAGGGAAAAGAGTTGAAGAAAAGAATGAAAGTAGAACTTTTGCAAATGGGGAGTGGAGGAAGAGTTAGAAGAAGTAGGGTGGGATGGGAAAGGAAGGGGACAAAAAAAGGGAATTAAGCTATATATGAACATGTACAGGATTCCTCACAAAAAATGTATTCATCATATATTGCAAACATATACTAACAAAAGTTGAAAAATGGTGACTGTCATCATATTATCATAATGTGTAAGTATCAAATATAGTTGAGATCCAGAAATAAACTTAATGTTTGACTGAAAAAAATAATAAATATTAGATTCCTTTTTAATGTCATTAATTTCTTCCCACCACATTGCTTTTTGACCACAACTTTACATATATTCTTTTGAGGCCAAATTTAAGGTTTTCAAATATTTTTGCTCAGCTTTTTGCTCTTGATTCCCTCTATAAATTTCACTACAAGCAAACAGCTGTCCTCATGCTACAACATGGGTGCTGGACTGCCTTGAAATTTCCTTTGCAGTATTAGTTAGGCTATTGTCTTTAAACTTAGCCTCAGACATAGTTTTACGACATGAGCAAAATGTTGACCAATTCTTTGCCATGAAAAAAATATATGGCCTGTAGTGCTTTTCAAATAGAGTTCCAGTTTTTAACTAAAATTTTCTTAGCCTGGTCTTTACTGTCTGCATTCCTATCAGCATTTTGGTCTTCTGGGTTCTGACCAGGCTCTCCCATTAAACTCTGCTTATAGTATTCTAGATCTTCTCTGGCCCACATCACTAAACTTTTCCAAAATTTAGCCATAAATAAGGTCCAGAGATCTCTGAACTCCATGGTCAGCTATACTCCTTGAAGCTACCCCATTTTGGTGGTACTACTTTCTGTATTAGTTCGTTTCTCATCAGTAGAACAAACTTTCTGATATCTACAATTTAAAGGGAGAGAGTTTTATTTTTGGCGCATTGTTTCAAAGGTTTTAGTCCATGATCAGCTGGTGCTAAGGCAGTTACATCATGCAGGAGGAAATGGTGAGCAAAGCTGCTCACTTCATTGTGTCTGGGAAGCAGGACATGGGGTAGAGGGTCAGCAAGAGACACACCCTCCAAAGACACACCTTTACTGACCCATCTCCAACCTGTCCTTACCTCCTTACAGTATGTTTGTCTGTGGAACTCATTTGATGAATTCCTTCATGATTACACAGCCCCCATGATCCATTTACTTCTTCAGAGGTTTCAATCTAAGTTAGTAATTAAGATTAACTGGCATCACTCCTAATTACATATTATGTTGTGTTGTTGGCTAGTTATTTCCATTTTAATCTTTTCTTCCCATATATTCGTTGGGCCTTTTCTTTCCTTTAACATTTTAGCTTATCTTACATTAGTACGTACCAGTTTCAGTTACAAAGAGTTCTTTGAGAAAATCTTGTTAATTTTCTTTTTCTTCTGGCAGTGTTTGTGAACATAGCAAAGAAAATCTTATGACCCCTTCCAACATGGGAGTGATTTTTGGGCCCACCCTAATGCGTGCTCAAGAGGATACTGTGGCTGCCATGATGAACATCAAGTTCCAGAACATCGTGGTAGAAATCCTAATTGAGCACTTTGACAAGGTATGCATTTCCTGTCCTTATCACAATTCTTCCAAGCATGGGACACTTGCCTCCAGCTGCCTTTTTTGGTTTTGTCTTCCTTGGCTCAAATTAATAGTCAATCCCTTTAAGAAACAATGACATTTGATGGTAATTCTGGCCATGGGAATTTCATATATTTAGTCATTCTTGATTATGCATGTAACTTTTATTATCAGGTATTGTGCTAGAGTCTGGGTGTGTAAAGAAAAGCCATTTAAGCCTTTAAGGAGTTAGCAGTATAGTTAGGGATATTGCTCAGTGGCACAAGCTCCTGCCTGCCATGTATGAGCTCCTAAGTCTGATTCCCTGCACCAGAAAGGAAAAAAAGAAAGTTAACAATGTAGTGTGGAGGCAAACGTGAAAATGGACGAAAATTATAGGCACAAAATTTGTTTATGTGCAGTGAGACTGTGGGGAAGAAGAGAGATAGCTCCTCACCCATCACAAGATTCACGATTGAGCCCCTATAGCACGAACCAATTAATAAGAGAAAAATCACAATTTTTTTTTTGTATTTTAGGGAAGGGTCTATAGGGTATTCAGGATCTCACCACTAGATTGGACTCATAGCAGTCCTCCTGTTTACAACCTCCCAAGTGCTGGGATTATAGGCATGCACCACCACGCCCAGTCTCAATTGCCATCTCACCTTGCCCCTGCACCTGCTTGCAGGCGCTTTAACCTGCTGAGCTATTTGGCTGGCCCTCTCACAAATTTATTTAGTAAGTTCTGTGTAACATGGTCTTCCAAAGACCCAAACAGGTAAATTTGTAGTAGTTTGATGAAGATGTGGATAAACTGGAGAAATATGACTAGTAATACAATGGTATTATCTAATCCTGTTAAACTGGGAGGGATTCAGCAAAGGTCTGTTTTTTCAGATTCTTTGTGATCTTTCAGTGTACTTGAGTATAAAGATATTCATTTCCTGCTTGTGTAAGGAGGGTAACTCTGGAATAAAAGTTTCATGACCTATTTTAAAGGAAGGCCAAGGGCCAGAGAGATAGCTCAGTAGAATAAGTGCTTGCCTGGCAAATACAAGGTCCTGAGTTCAATCCCCGGTACCACAAAAAAAAAAAAAAGTACATTTAAAGGAAGGTCAAGAAATTCTTTACATGGCCTCTTTTGGGGAAGAAGGGCAGGAGGAGGCCTAAGAGACCTACTTGCTTTTGTTGTTTCAAACACCAAGGTACCCTATTTTAGTACTGTAGGGCTTGAACTCCATTAAAACCATATATAAATCAATTGTACCATTGTTAAATATCTCTAATTCCAGAATAATTAAGGTGGGTGTACCATATGTGATCTAAAAATACAGTGAATGTTTGAATTTTAAAAAATATATATACTAAAAGACACATTGCCATTAGTCCAACTCACTTTGAACACACTTAAACCATCATTCTTGTCATTTTCTGGAGCAGTCCTCTTTCATGAGTAGCTTGAATTTTGCTGTTGTGACTCCCTTAGGATGTTCTCATCAATTCAAAATCTTACCTTTTCAAAGTTATTTTAATTTTGAGGAAGAGCCAGAAATTTCACAGTACCAGGTCTGATGAATACAGTGGATAAGGATACACAGCATAATCATTTTATAAATTTCCCTTTCTATTAAGTGGTACATGATGGTAGCACTCACTGTATTTTTATATTTCATAAAGACACAGAAGACAATTTCTGTGACTGTTTGAGAAATTGGAAAGAATGTAAGTGTGTTCAACGTGAAGGGAAGATGAGATCAGGTGTGGTCAGGGTGGTGTTTGGACATTTAATGCTGGTATCTCCTACTGTGAGTAACTGATTTAAAAATAATACGTAGTTATCAAGTATTCTTACCCTCTTATACTGTTTTGGAATTTTGGGTTTTTTTTATTATTTGTCTTTTTTTCCTTTAGGATAAAAATTTAAAAAAAAAGCAAAGGAAAGAACTTTCTGGGTTTTATTTTCAATGTGTATTTTACTGTAATAGATTTCTTTATGCAAACATTTGTCATGTATTTCAGTTGCCCCTTAATATGATACAATATGTAAAATGCAAAATAACATACATTATAATCAGGTAAAACAATGAAAATACAAAATAAGGGGAGAGAGATAATGAATACAGGAATGACATTAGGACAGGAAATAGTTATTGACAGGTATTGTATCCTTGTCACAGATGACCATATACTTGGCTATAAGCTTGTAGCAGCCAGTGTCATTCTTGGGAAGCATAATTTAATTCAGATTTTCCTTTGGGCAAAGAGGCTTCTCTTGTAATCTAGGTCTATCCACAGCACAAGTCCAAACTGTGTGCCTTTAGCTGCGTTAAGTATGATATAGGCTGGAGTGCTAAGTCACCACATACATACAGTGGCTCTAACAACAGATGTTTAGTTTTTGGTTGTAAAATAGGTCAAGGAGATGGTCTAATCCTAGTAAGGTGATTTGGCAGTATCAGGATCCTTGGTTCTTTTTTGTTGCTCTACTTTTCCTAGAGTATTATCTTTGTCATCACAATTGATTCTACATTCCATTGATTGAAAAGAATCAATGAAAAGAAGTGGGTTAAAACACTTTCTTTTTTAGTTATGGCATAGAAAGCACACATTCCAATTTCATTTACATCCCATTTGTCAGAATTTAATCTTATGGTTTCACATGATGTGATGTAGTGGTAGATATAACTTGAGAAATTAAAGGCTTAGCTAAATGGACTCAGCAATTCCACACCCTAGGGCATGGAAGCCCCTCCATAGGGTGTGGAGGCCCCACCCTAGAGTGACTCATCACTTAAAGGATATAAAAGGGAATTGAGGAAGGATGGAGCATTCAACTTCCTTGGAGGAGCTCTGATTTTTGAAGTCAGCATGGAAGGAAGGGAGGTGGCTTGCTAGATGCTACAGCTGCTGTTCTGCCTTGCAACCAGCATAGTAGGTACTGAAACCTCCACTGTAAGCTAAATAAAGCTTTCTTTCCTTAATTTTGGGTGTTGGATATTTTGTCCCAACAATGAGTGAAAAGTAACTGATACATGTGACAAGAAAGCGAAGTCTTTTTTGGTGTATAACCTGCCCAACTAAGACATAAAGAGAATGGATATTGGAGAACAGCAGCATTCTCTGCCATATTATTTTACCTCAAACAACTTTATTTTCCTGATAATCATCTATATTTAGTTGAAATGTGATAATAGTGTGTGATAATCACATCCCTGAGGTTATTTGGTTAGGAAGTGGCATAGGTGAATAATGTACCAAAGTGTAACTAGATAGGTGGAATAAGTTCTAGTGTTCTGCAGCAAAGCATTTTAAATATAGTTCTCAACAACCTATTACATATTTTATAAAGAAGTAAAAGAGAAATGTGTGGCTCCCACCACAAAGGAATAGTAAATGCTTAAGGAGATGAAAATGCTAATTACCTTGACTTGATCATTATACATTATATTGCATGTATTAAATTCCTATGTTGTAACCCATGAATGTATGTATCAATTAACAATTTTTAATAAGAGCTGGGATTTAAATCCAGTTAGCCCAGTTAAGAATCACAGTACTCGCCAGGGAGGTGGCTCAGTGGAATAAGCGCTTGCCTGGCAAGTGCAAGGGCCTGAATTCAATCCCCAGTACCGCAAAAAAAAAAAAAAAAAAAGAATCACAGTACTCTATATCACTATACACTGCAGCAGCATCGCCAGTCATTTTGGTACAGTGATATTATTGAGTATGTATGTGGCACCTTCAGATTTTCAAGAAGAGATTCTTGTAGAGAAGTCTGACTTATATTACTGTACTATCCAGGGGTCTCTAGACAAGTAAAATCATTAGGATGTATGTGTAGATATGTGAGAGAGGATTTATTGGGGGAATTGTCTCATTCAATTATGGTAACTAAGAAGTCCTATGATAGCTATCTGTAGGCTAGAGACTCTGGGATGCCTGTAGTTTGGCTTAATCCAAGTCTGAAGTCCTCAGAATAAAAAAAAAAACAATTATGTAAGTTGCCTGAGGCCAAATACGTAAGGATGGAGGAATGGAGTAGGCTCTCTGGTATCAATGCTGGAGTCCAAAGGCCAGAGATCTGAAAATCCTGATGTCTTGGCTCTCAGAGTAAAATTACTTCCTTTTCTTTGTATTGTTTTAACTACATACCCAATTTAATGGATGATGCCTGCCCACATTAAAGGTAGCTTTTGCCACCTAGCCCCCACATTTGCTCTCTTCTAGAGAACACTGTCTTAGATACAACCAAAAGAATACTTTTCTAGGCTTCTTTTGTATTCCAGAATCCAGCCAAGTTAAGACCTAAAATTAACCATCACATATATTAAAGTGGAGAAAAGAAGTCAGGAAAAGAAATTTCAATGAGACTACCCAGTGTGATCAAAGGCCCAGGCCTAAAAAAAGTATTTTTGGAACAAGAAATGGAAATAAAAACAGTTGGAAATATGACTAGAGATAGACAAGAACCAGTTCCTAAAAACACTTGACTGCTTGATTGAGGAGTTGAGAATGTTTGGAATTTTTCATGCCAGTGTTGAAAAAGCATTGCTTCAAAATAGTATTATAGTCAGACTTATGTTCGGGAGACATTATCTGGCTGTAGTATAAAAGATAGAGAAAAAGAGAAAATTTTGCCGTAGCTTGAACAAGAATTAGCTGTAGTCTGAGATAGGGCCATGAGAAAAAAGATAGGCAAAATCAGCAGGACTTGGTGATTGGAAGCAGATGTGGAAGAGGGAGATTTCAGAATCTTGGATCTCTGACTTGGCTGACTGAATGAATGAGGTAGTTCTTCATACATTTTAGAAATATAGAATAGAAAAGTAATGGGAGATGGGGAAAAGCTGTCATTGGACTAGGTTAGATTTGAGATTTCTCAAAATTATCCAAAAAGCAGTATTTAACAAATAGTTCTCTATGTGAATCTAAAGCAAAGATCAGTGAGTTTTTCATTGTGTAAAGTACATATAGTAAAAATAAACTTTTCAGGCC